ACAACAACAACAACAACAACAACAACAACTACTACTACTACTACTACTACTACTACTATTTTCTACTACTGCCCGTGCTGCTACTACTACTGCTGCTGCTACTACTACTACTACCGCTACCACAACAACAACAACTACTACTACTACTTCTTCTACTACTACCCGTGCTGCTGCTACTACTACTACTAGTGCTACTACTACTACTACTACTACTACTACTACTACTACTACTACTACTACTACTACTACTACAATTACTACTACTACTACCACTACTACTACTACAACAGCAACTACTACTACTACTACTACTAATACTACTACTACCACTACCACTACTACTACTACCACTACTACCACTACCACTACCACTACCACTACCACTACTACTACTACTACTACCACTACCACTACCACTCGACACTCGGCATGTGTGTTTCCTTGCTGGCCGTATCAACGAACCGTCAGCAACCAACCAGCACACAATATGGCCGGAACCAAAAGCACCTTCACAGAACTGCCGGGAACAAAACACACCGTGGCGGCAACAAAAAACACCCTGGGGAACCTGACGGGAATAGAAAACACCATTCCGGGAAAAGGAAACACCACGGGAACAAAACACACTAAAATGGAAACACAAACACCATACCCCAAATTAAAAACAGCAAGCAGGTCCTCTGTGTAGAATGCATATGTTGACAAGAACTGTGGGAGCATCAACTGTCGAAGCTGAAAAAAGACTTATGCGCGCGCGCACCTTTGCGCACTTTGTTTGCGGCTTTGCGCGCTTGAAGTGCAGGTTTGCCCCCCAAACTGCCCAATTCATAAAAGGGGTTGCACGAAAGATGCCCCCCGACAAAAACAGGTGGAGCAGTTATTATATCTGTCTGCTCGTTGGAAGATCCAGGTGCTCAACGCTTTGCTGGGAGTGGGCGGCCTGGATCACCCGCAAAGCTCCGCGCAAGATCTGCGCGAGGAGAAGCAAGGCCTGGACTGGAACGTTTGCAGGTCAAGCTATGGAGAACTGTCCGGGGAAGTAAATGGCATATGGAAATCAAGGCATATGACCGGGGAGGCGACGGCTGGAACGGCCCAAGGCTGGGAAGACCTTGAACCACCCAGAGCTTGACATATTTATACTGTTTACCTCAATGATAGAAGAAACTTCAGCTATATATCTTCCATTTGAACGGTACACGGGCACCTTCCCACCAAACAATTCAAATAGAAGATACCGATCAACATGATCAAATTTTGAGTATTCTTACCTACTTTGCCACTTTCTGCTACAAATGATTCTGGGATTGGATCTTCTATTTGACTTTCCGATTCTGCCTGTACTACTGTTTTCGTATTCGGGGTTTCTGCCTGCACCCTGATCCTGGCCCAAGAAAGCATGTGGCAGACAGCTAAAAGAAGGGAATACTGGATGTTTTCTTCAGAAACTGGAATGTATATGGTATGTGCAGCAATGGCTGCTGTTTGCTTGGAATGCTGCAATCGTGTTAGGCTTTGCCGGCTTTCAAGGACTTGCAAAAAGCAACGCTCCTTACCATAAAGCGTTCCTAGTGATATACAAAAAGAGCGCTTGCAGTTGGAAAAGGATGGGCCCAATTCTGCATAGGAAAATGATCAAAGTCAATAGAAGATATTGTTAAACAAAACATTTGTATAACCATGAGCCCACCAAAAAACTAAGAGCAAGTTCCTCTATTCGACTGCCATTTTTTGATTTGGTTTTTGATTTGCTTTACTCGACAATAAGACATTACTTGACAATAAGACATCCCAAGGCAACAGTTTTCTTCCGGTGAGCTCTGAGACATGTTTGAGATAAACAAGCAAGATTTGCAATAAATACCCGTAAATGTTGGCTTCCAACCTCTCCCAACAGGTTTTGTCCAAGAAAGGCCAAGTTGGGTCTCAGGAGCTACCTCTGGCAGTGATTATCTTCTTTTTAAATTACCCCCCAGGCACTCCCAAAAGTGCGTCTTCTGAATTGAATTAATTCCTGAATATCTATCTTAACGGTAAAGAAAACAAAAAACTATACAATTCATCACCGAAACCTGTCAACACGTGCACCACCTCAGGGCCATCTATCTCGGCACGCCCACCTCAAGGCGCAGGCTCTGCTGCCGCTCCTGAGGCGTGGCGCGACCAATCCGGCATCATGCACCATGATCGTGATGGCCTGTTGAGCCTCGAGGCCTTCTTATGTTTTTTTTTACGAGGCTGCCGTGGTCGAAGTAGAGCTCGACCTACCCTTCTGCATGGAGCATAAGGAGACCAAGATCTTGACGTGTTGCAACCCAAAAATACTCTTAAAGTCTTTAAAACACTTCTGGGAAAAAACACGCTAACCTCAAACCTATCCCGTCAACCAGTACAACTAAACAAAAAAAATACGCCACATTATCGACCTGAACACCTAACATTAACACCGAATGAACCCTGACTGAAAGTTGTCTCGCACAGCTCACCACGTGTAACCAGTAGGTTTGAACTTTTATAACAATATACACACAAATCATAAATTTATTAAACAACGATAAAAAAATAGATGAAAACTTCATAAAGTAGATGAAAATCAATAAAACAGGTGAATTTTCATAAAATAGGTGAAATTTTCATAAAGTAGGTGAAATATTATAAAATAGGTGAAAATTACCAAAAAAATGTGATTTTTCATAAAATCGGTGAACTGTCATAAAATAGATGATAAATTTACATAAAATATGTTAAATTTCAACAAAAATAAGTGAAAATTCCTTAAATATGTAACATTTTCACCCAAAAAATCATAAAATAAGTGAATCTTCATAAAATAGGCGAAATTTCAACAGAAAAGATGAAACTTACATAAAATTGGTCAAATTTCTAAAACTAACTTAGTTTTCATAAACTAGATGAAATTTATATATTTTTGTAAAATAGATGAATGTTCATAAAATAGGTTAAATTTCAAAAACAATAGATGAAAATTCCTAAAATAGGTGACATTTACATAAAATAGGTGAAAATAAAGTAGGTGAATTTTCATACAACAGAAAAAATCATATGTGAAATTCCATAAAATAAGTGAAATTTCATACAATAGGTGAAATCATTTGTGAAATAATTTAAAAACAACATAAAATAGATGATTTTCATAAAAATAGGTGAATTTTCATACAATAGGTGAAATGCCAATAAAACAGGTGAACTTTGAATAAAATAGGTGAATTTAAATTATATAGTTGAAATTCAATAAAAATAGGTGAATTTTCATAAAATAGGTGAAATTTACATAAAATTGGTGAATTTTCATAAAAGTAGGTGAAATGTATATAAAGTAAGAGAAAAAAATTTTCACGGTGAACTCAATAAACATTTTCAATTTCACCTATTTTATGGAATTTTCACCAGAATAAGTGCTTTTGTTGGTGAAATTGGTGAGAAATAAGTGCTTTTAAACAAACATGATGAACGCACTTATTTTTTCATCAATTCCACCAACAAAAGCACTTATTCTGGTGAACATTTGATAAACTAGGTGAAATTGAACATTTACCGTGAAAATTGATGTTTCACATATTTTATTTTTGAAAATCACCTACTTAAAAAAAATAAAAATAAATAAAAAATCACCAATTTTATGAAAATTGGATAACCTAGGTGAAATGTTCATAAACTAGGTGAAATGTAAATAAAATATACTAAAATCAATAGAATAGGTTAATGTTCATAAAATAGGTAAAATTTATAAAATAGGTGATTTTTTTAAACGGTGAATTATCATAAAATAGATGAAGTTTCAAAAAAAGGTGAAATTTCAATAAAATAGGTGAATGTTCAATAAGCTAGGTGAATTTTCATAAAATAGGTGAAAATTCATAAAATAGGTGAATATTAATAAAGTACGTGATTTTTCATACAATAGGTGAAATTTCAAGAAATAGGCAAATGTTTTTTAAATATGTGAAAACACCGAAGTCGTATGTGGTTTTGGTTTGCTTTGGTTACGTTAGGATAGATTCAAGTTCAAAGAGGTAGTAGAACGTTGCAAATAGATGTCTGAGACCTGGATCACTCCAAGATGGTTGGAGAACCACAACTGTATTGTCCACAGAAGCCACTACTGCCACTCTGCCAGTTTCTGGTGTCTAGAACATAACTAGGTCACATCTTTCCAAATCTAGTTATCGACCCTCCGAAAAGGCTTGACAGAAGTGTTTGAAACCAGCGGTTCCTGTCACACACAGCAATTTAACCCTCAGGGGTGGGGAGAAAGCACTTATTGAGGAGTAATTTTTGGAAACCTGATGCGCAGCCAAAATATGAAAGTGAATAGTTAAAAAATGACATAATCATCATTCTGGCCTAGGAATACCATAATCATCATTTGTGGTTTGTTATTAAATTAAAAAATGACGGTACGTCCTCCTCAATTTGTATGCTAAAGTGGTAGGGGTTTTTCGGTCATTGAATTCTGTAGAACCCTTCACGTCATCCCAAACGTCGTCACCAGCGAAACATGTGAAAGGTGCGTGTGCTGTATTCACTACAATTTCCTCCGGAACTGGACATTGTAGGCCACTACACAGATTGTTGGTCTCTCAATAGCTCGTACCCAAGAGCGGGTGCGGCTGATAACCTGCGAGTGGGTGTTAACCAGTAGATGGCCGTGAACACAACTAATAATAACCGCCGGCGACGGCGTCAAGGAACCGTGCGTCTTTTCTCCTTGAAGGGGCGCTTAAGCCAAAGGTAGTTGGCGGGTGAGATAGCTTTACATGCCATACAACACATGCCTATATGCTTTTAGTGCTCCTGCTGCACTTCCATTGACAGTAACTATGTTATTCAATCAATCATGCGAACCTAGTTGAATCGGTTTATATAACCGCGTGTCAGCTTTTTGGTCAACAGCCTGCCTCTGAGCATACCAATCGCAAGCGTCGTTCGCCTGCTGTGCAGCACGAATATGACGAATCTTGCTATGAGTCGGATAGACACATGATGTCACATCTAAGCCGTTGCAAGCCCTGAAGAAGCCAAGGCCATTGCCTATTGGGTAGCTTATGGCCTGCACCCACAAATCAAAACGACTCGACTCGGGTCGCTGGTGCAAACGCCGTCGTGGGCGTCTGGCCTGGATCACAAAGCCTCGGGCTTGAAACGGGTTCAAACGGGGGTTTCCAGAGATGTGGACGAGGCGACCTGGATTAGCCGCATGACTAGTGACGAGTGACTAGATTTATCAGTTATCAGCACCTACCACAAGCTACAAGCTCCGTTTGATGGCATGCACATTATATACCAACCCACAACCCTGGCATTTCAACTTCTGACTGGGGCGAATTCTGCGTCGCCGTGTCCACCGTGTCGCTGAGGACAAAATCCTGGGGCACCTGCTCATCATCTTCACAAAGCATGGCCTGGAGAGCACGGCGATAAGTGCAGCAATTCTTGCAGGATCCATGTCGAACAATGCGAGGTGGATACAGTACTTGAGAATCACCATTGATCACCCCTTCCTCAATTTACTTACATGACTGCCCGAAAATATCCGAATATGCTCCAAACTTAAAAGGGAAACAGCGGCCTGCATAGCATGAACTGCAACCACCTGTTTGTAAAGGGCCATGTTCCACTTCAATGATTATTTACCACAAAGGTGACTTCCTCACAACACGCACCACCATGGCACATTGCAACACCAGGATCTACAGTAAACGACGCTGGTAGCGCCTACAAGTGTTCCACGATTTAGCTTCATTGTATCCATTGCCCGTGAGAAAATGAAACGAGCACTACACGTAGTAGTCAATGCATCTTCGTGTGCACTCAGTCGGACAAACACCCGCCCTCCAAACGCGCAGCTTTGTTGACATGAACCCGTCCCCAATTGCAGGACCCAAACTTGCCTCTGGGGGAAGTCTCTAAATTCTAGTGGTCTGATCCATTGGTCAAACTGAGAATGAGAACACCAGAACCCACACACATACCGAATACCCAGGTGCTGTACTTGTTCCGAAGTGAGCATACCCAAGCCGGACGCCGGACTGCTCCCCAAGCCTCGCCTGCAGCGCCCGTAGCAGCGGCTCCGATGCCTCCAAGCGGCCTGGACGCACCAAAAGGTCGTCCACTGGAATCACCTGCGTCGACGGCGCGGGCGCAAATGACCCACTGCACAATGAAGACGCAAACGTGTGCTTCAAACATGATAAAACAAACATACAGTAATAGAAAACAAAGCATTCTGCTAGAATATACTAGAATAAGACACACATATTTCAGATATAGTAGTATATATATATATATATATGAGGTTTCTCCAGTGCCTTCACAGTGCCTCAATGTCGGGATGTTGGTTCAGCTTCTCCCGTGACATCTTACTCGATTGAGTCTCGTTGCCGAGCCAATGGACAGTTGGTGTAGCCACTTTGGTTGCTTCGAGAGTGACCTTCACTTCGCTGGGTTTCTTCTGCATCATGTCCTTTGCTGCGGATTGTAAACCACATCATCATGTCAACCAAGGAGTGTCCACGGTTTTGAGATGTTTTGAGGCGATATCAGCCAATCCAATTAGTCTTGCAATCTGCCTACTCAACTCAACTAGGACTACTGACTACTTAATGACTTAATGTGCTTCACCCGAGCTATATATATGAATGACATGTTGCACAAAAACACTGAAACCCAACGTTACACAATACCCGCTTGGGCGACCAAACTTCATCAAACCGATGGATCCTCAATCTGCCTCCAAGCGAGCCAGTCGATCTCGGCGAGGTGCCCCACAAATGCTTTCCACGGCTGCCTGGGTGGATCGGCTGCCAGGGGTATTCTACATCCTATTGACATTCTTATAAGCCCAAACAAGGTTTATGAGAAGGACATATCGGAGAGGGCCCAACACATTCCCCTATTTGCAGAAGGGGGGAATGCAGCATTGTGTGGCTGACTTCTTGCATCCTTCCACAGCCCTTTGTGGTTCCACATCGTTCCACTGGTCAGTTCATCTTGGGGTCTTGCCACAAGGTCCTCCACTGATTCAAACACCTCCAAGTAGTCTGCCTGGCTGCAAAGTGGCGTTTCCAGTGCGGAAGGGGAATTGGAATCTATAAATTTGATCACACCGACAAAGATACACCGATGCTGCAATAAATGTTTGCTTATATGTAGGATAGTTGAGATTGTGGGTTTAGTGATGGGTCATGAGTCATAAGCATGAGCGTGGAAATGTGTGGCACACTAGCAAGGTGCAAAGACTGCCAACATCCCCTACCAGAATGCCCCCCACAAGCACACAACAAACGCAACAAATCTTTGCACAAACCAATTCTGCTGCTAGCCACTGTGTCGCTTGACCAAACCAAACCATCATTATTGTTCACTACTCTTCATTGCTCCTAGGTCCCTGGATCCTGCTCCACTGTGATGTACATGCAGCAAATCAGAGGAGAAACTGGAGAAACGCTTTCCCACGACCAGACTGAAGGCCTTCCCTCTGCCAAGAGTAAATTGTATCATTTCTCTTACGGCAACACCTGTCAAATACCTGCATAACTCGTGCAGTCTGATGAATCTATTGCTTTGACCCCTCTTCACTGCAAATTAATGTGTCAGTGACCGCTGAAACCACAAATGATTGACACTTCTCTGTTTCTCCCCAATGTGATCTGGCCTACACATGGTGCATCCAATTGGCCCCCGACCACTCCCCTGACCCAGTAGATAGAATAGAAGGATTCCACACCAGCACATTGAACTTGAAACGGCCACCTCAAATCGCCTGCCTCCGTTTTCACACGTTTTGAGCAATTTCCATACCATTCCCCTCCTCATTCTTTGGGAGGACCATCCCATGCACCGCCAACAGCTCCGCCGCGGACTCTTCGCCATAGCAAATTCGCACCTCCTGCAAAGGCTTTCATCGAAACACGGGTGCTCAATGGACTCCAGGGTGACAAACTTGTGTGACAAAAGGAATTTGAACAAAAGTTATTCTCTGGGTTGGCAACTGGTCGGTTTTTTTTGTGCTGCTTTCTGGGGAGGCCTCAAGATTGTTTTTTTTTTTGGGGGGGTTGTGACCCAAAGACATGAAGATGAATGTATCAGAATGCCAGGCCTAAGCCAAGAACGATGCCAGCTCACCGAAGCAAACCATTCTATTCAGTTCAACTAACCTATCTGACCTAACACCCTATCCTTTTGCAGGGCATAGCGCAGCGTAACAACCGAGCTTTCTCGCTGCTGTTTTATGCATATAATCAAATGGTGTTTGCTTATTGATCAACGTGTGTTTCCAGCCCTTTCTTACAGTAAACACGTCACGCCATCATTCATGATGCGTCCTTTTCTCCTTTTCTTCTTCAAAGCAATGCATTAGAATCAAACCATCTGTCACATGAATCAAATGAAAAGTACACAATTATACACACGCTTACTTGTGTAATGGATTGACACGATATATATATATACAGTATATATATACTACTGTATACTACTGTAGTATCAATTGGTTCTTGACATTCCAGCAATAACATAATATCAAGAGTCAAACATGATAAAAGGTGCTGCGTCACATTTGTACCATATCGGCAATCGTGTCGGTCTTGGCGATCAACAACCGTGATTCAGTCATCATCGCAAAAGAAAATGGTATTCCAAGGATGGCGACATCTTGCCAGCGATCTTCAACAAGCGACTTCCTTCTGCTGTATCTCCAGTCTCCAGCTTGGCAATGCCCTGTTGATACAATGCCAGGGCCTCGGACTAAGGATTGACCGAATGGGTATTTGAATCTTGACTTATCTCACTCCAGCGTAATCATCCACATAGGCCCATACTGAGACCCGCTTTGAAGAAACAGCAAAAACTCCAACACTAGCTGAGCTTTGAGAAGGTCTTGCGAAACCTCACCCGGAACAGCCGCCCATTGAACGAACAACATCATCGCTGACAACTCTTGGCCTCCTGGTCTTCCATGGTCGCTGGGACAAATTCCGTGGGCGTATCACCTCAGCACCGCGATTTGCGGCGGTGCTGCGGGGTAGGATCCAAGGCCTTGTTGTTTTTCTAAATGGTTTGAAGTCCGCTTGCGGTCCACCATGGATTACCAAAATCACCAAGGAGTAACCCACACACGATGACAATGACACATGACCATGCTTGATCAACCCACAGCTGCCTCCTTAGAATGGATGGGTTTCCGTTGCGCTAGATCGTAACACTGCAGCTTGCAAATGCTCAATTTATGAGCCGCTAGCCAGGTGGACTCTGAGTGTCCAGCCTTGTCGCTTGGATGATGGCAGGTTGATTGTCGGTATCTGTTGATCATTGTTAGGCCCTGTTCTCAACAATCTTCATTCAGCATCGGTCTAATGGTTTTTGCATTCCCAAATGTTACAACTCATCATGCAAATGGCCTTGTCTCAAAGCAGGTGTTGTATCACAATAATGAGGCTTCTCATACCTTCTGATCAACCAATGGCTCTTGCGGCTTCACGACGTTGGCCCATTGTCCATCTCATTCTCCGGGTCCGCGGTTACTTCCACCCCAAAGATGGAACACATGCATTCCAAAACGCCATCCCATCCTACCATCCAAGAGGCCCATCTCAGCAGCCCTGACTTCCGCTTTGAGCGCGTCTCTACCAGGTGCCCACGGCGGCTTGCGAAGCAGCCACTGCCGCGGCTGCGCATCCACCACCCAAAATCCACCTGAGCAATGGAAAGCAACCCTTGGACAATCCATATACTGGTTGGTTAATTACGATCTATCTGGGTGAATGATGATACAGCGTTTCACAAACCTAAAATAAGGTCCATCAACTTTGTGTAATTACCATATACAATCATTTCCAGTGATGTCGTGTGACGTCGTTACAATTGATCCGATTCAAAACATTAACCTGGTTGACTATTTACTATTACTGGGTACCTGACAGTCTTACTCTTGGTAAAACGGGGATACATTAAGCCCCGGTTTACCAGTATGGCTTTGGAAGGCCACTCCTGCCGGCCACTTCTCCCCCAAATCTGCAGATCCAAGGCCGACAGGCCAGCGTCTTCGGGAAGTGGATCAAGTTTGGGAGGATCCAAACTGGAATCAGGAAGCTCTACTCTGGTGAATTCGGGGTCCCCAAACATAGTGAAAAAATCAATTGATTTCGACATGGCATCCATACTGCTAGGACCTTGGGTTTATTCTTGTGAGCTAACCTATGTATGACAAAATAGTGTGCCATTTATTGAACCACATCCATACATCCCGATTTTGTAGTGATCAATTTTTTCGGAGTCTGGGGTCCTGGGTCCACAACCTGCAAATCCCCTCCCGAAATGTCAAAGGCAAGGGCAGTCTAGGAGTCCGGATTGGGGCAACTATGTGGCTACATGAGGACTTCCTACCCTGCCCCGCCCACCTGCTGCAAAGAAGAAGGTGCCACACAAACCATGGAAGAGGTCGTCATCTGCTGACCTAAGGGTGCAGTGCCATTATTGGACGAAATGTTTTGGCCGCCGCCGCCGGGAATCTAAAAACTCTGTATTTACTCACTGTCAGCAATTTTCAATTGATTGCCCTTGGTGTGTATGATTTGATCATATCATACATCATCATATATCAAATATATAAGTTATACAAACTATATCCGGCAAATAGAAAAAGATACAAAAAAACAACATAGTAGGCCAATCGATCGGTCGATCGACCGATCGTTCGATATCCATGGTCCATACTAGTCCATACATAAAGATTTTGTCATACAAATAGCACAGCTCAAAACATCTTCACCCTCTTCCTCATTTCTAACAAAAATCCAGCCACTGACTCGCGCCAACCCCATGCTCTGTAAGGAAGGAAGAAAGATCTGCTTCCACAGCAGGCCAGTCTAGATCATCGCCCAACAATACCTTGGATGTGCTTCACATGTCACATGTCCCGACAGTTGTCAACAACATTTAGTAAATATTAAATGTTCCCGGGCACATATTAAAAATACAGACCCTCATTTGGAAGAAAATCATTCCGGAGCCCCCTAAATATGGTTTTTATATTTGCCTTTAAATTACCGCCCTTAAAAGCCGCTACTTAACTACCGACATGGCCGACTTTGGCGTAGTCTTTTAAATTAGGTTCCAAAAACAACCGTAACTGCACACCTCTGTTGATCCACCATGACACGCAAACGCACTTGCCACCGAGGTCACGCAAAACCGCATGGCACAGCGATATCACCTTTCGAAAGCTTTAGTTGTTAGTCTACTGACGCTAATGAAGAATCACTATTCTAATAAAAATGTTTGTAGGGGAAAGGAAGACCCTTTGATCAGGAGGTTTTTTGAATTTTTGATACGAGTTTACTAAGAAAGGATGATATATAACTTTTTTCTGGGTGACTCGTTGGTTTTGAAGCTCTTCCCAGGTGACCCTATTTTGGACAACCCCGATTTCAGGGACCCCTATTTTAAAAAAATGCGACCGAGGTTTTCTTAATAGGGGGGCCCCTCGTGTTTTTCAATAGGTGGATGGTATTACTGACCCATGCATTCCAAAGGCAAACATTTCCCGTAGACGATTCGCTTTTTTCATGATTTTCATGGATTGTCACCGATGTTCCCTGTATTCTCGTGCTGGATTGTCACTGAGGTGCTCCTCCAGGTCGCACCAGCCGAAAAGCCTCTGTGATTTCCAGTTTCGTCTCCCCTTTCAAGTGCGCGGAGTCCAAATACAAGAAGTCCTTTTGCAAAGGAAGATGAAACAAGAAAAGAAGAACTGAAAAAATGAAACGAGTGTTCTTCCCATTTTGGAGGGCTGGAAAAGAACACTGAAAGAATATGACCTGCGATGCGAGCTGACAAATTTCTTCATGTTATATGTATCCTTTTCATCTACAGGCTTTGGACAGTTTGGACGTTGCGCCGCTTGTCAAATGAACAGCTTCTTTCGAGTTTGGCCTCCCTCCTGGGCCGGTTCCCCCCATGAGTGTGCAACGAAGAGTCCACCAAGGGTGTTGTTCCCTCGGCTGCCAACTGCTGAAGAGCGCGCAAGCCACAAAGGGAAGCGATAGGAAATGGCACAATCACATCCGCATATTTCCGAGTGTTCACCATAAACTGCTGATAAAGTTGTGGGCATCCATCTTTAAGCAACAAGCTGGACCTGCCGGTCGCTTGCTTGTTCAACCACATAGCAGCATCTCCCAGGAAGGTATCGATACAAACCAGGCAGGGTTTGGAGGGCTGGCTTTCAGGGTCGGCGGCCCGCAAGGCCGAAACCATTCGGATGCTGCTGCCACCCTTGAATGAGCCCACCTCCACCAAAAACATGGGCCTCAACCGTTGGAACAAGTCGCGCAGGACTTCTGTCGGAATGTTGGTGTGAGGATATGAGTGATCTTCCTTCAAGCCGCAGGAAAAATGGCAGTAGGGTCCAGTGGACGTCCCGTGAACGTGCTTGCAAAGGCTCTGGTGCAAAGGCTCGGGCTCAGCGAACGTCGAGGCCGGAAGGATGACGGGACCGGCCATGGCCTCCGGGAGAGTCGCCACGCGAGACGTCGACGAGCTGAGCTTTCGCGCCGCGCTGTTTGACCGGTGTTCGGGGGCAAACAGAAGAGTCGCGAATCACCCATCCTAACATAATGGCTCAACATGAGCCCCGTTCGTAGCGTCCTTGTTCCTAGTAGCGATGCCCTTTGCTCCTAGTAGCGTCCGAACGCTCCTAGTAGTAAGGCCAGGAGCCCCTAATAGCGTTGCTCCTAGTAGCGATGCCAGGAGCCCCTAACAGCGTCCTAACCGGCCATGGCCTTCCTCGTCTCTTTCTGCCAGCCACCCAGCCACCGGTGCCCCAGCCATCCAGCGATGAAGGCACCAGCTCCGACCAAGCACGTGAACTCGGCCATGGGCCCCCCGTCTGGCATCCCCAAAGTGGCCAGTTCGTGCGCACGGATCCACGTGGCCTTTGAGCAGATTGGCTGCTTACAACCAATGGCATGGTCTGCAAACTCGGCCACATGAGCCTTCTCGCTTTTTATTCCAGTTGACCTCCCGTCCTCGCCCGGCATCACCGTCTGAGGGGCATGGACCTGCCGCATGATTTCTCAGCTGGTACAGCTGATAAGCTGATGACTTGGGTGACTCCGCACAGGAGTCACACCAGTGCGTTCTGCGCCCCCATGAAGAATTCACACGTGGCTGCTGGGTTGATGGTTGAAGGGTGGGAATCAGAAGACGCATGGTTCTTAAATTCTTAAACAATCAGGCTAGCAATGGTCGAGTCGTTGCCATGTGCAGTCCCACAAAAGCAGCGCACCTAAACGCTGGTCTTAAATTCCTCCAAATTCAATCGTTATTAAATTTGACAGAGGAACTGCTGCTTCCAACCCCCCACATCACAAAGATATACCTATTTCATCCATTTTCATCCTATGTCATTATTTGTTCTCTCCGATCTGCTGGGAACGATTTAGTTCGCTTTGAGAAATGCCAGGTGAACATTCTGACTTCCGAACATCTTCCTTTCTCGGGAAACCCACACAAGATACCAATATGGCACCCCACTGACCAGTCATCCCGATCATTGACACCTGGCGATCTCGGACCCTGGCACCTCGAAGCGATCGCCCTCCAAAGACCAAGCCCTGCGTTGCCATCCCGAGATCTCGTGATGGCAACGAAAGGGAGGGCTGTGCCGGGCACAAAAGGAAAAAGTCGAACTGGAGTGCTACTATACGATCTACCAAGGTGGGATTTGAGATGAATTTTGGATGGTTTTGGGAGGGTGTCTCCCAAGTGTCAAGCAATTCACTAATTATCCCGCACTGGGCTCACAGCGAACACAGCACCAATCTCTGCAAAATATGATGAAGTCATGTGTTCTCCGGGTCCGTTGACCATGTCGGGAAAATACTACTAACTCCAATGGTTATGCCCCTTTGACAAAGGAGCTATTCCCCGTCTTTCTGTCTTTCGACTGGGCACTAGATCCGTGTGTCCAAGTGGTGGTTTCACCAAGATCTTCACCAAGCCCAAACATGGACTTCTTAGCCGCACTCCTGCCGCGCAACCAAAAAGGCGCCGTTGCAGCGGTCTTTCACACGTCTCCAAACCAACACTTTCATATATTGAGGACAAACAAGGACAATGGCAACCTTTAAGTTGACAGGCAAATATTCACAAGTTCCTCCGGATCTCGGAGAATGATTCAGGATTACAAGAGCCATGCCAGGCTCTGCTTCATATTAGATGCAATGTTATATACAGTGTGAAGCTGTTAAGCCAAGGAACACCTCACCAAACTTACGGTATGTTTAAACAAGAAATGGCCGAAGCGTTCGCTTGAGGCTCCAAGCACTTCGTGTACGTCTGAAGAGGCCTGGATGCAAAGGCTGGCTCATCCACATTGAGACACAAAAACATAAGCAAGGGTAATGGTAGCAATCAATCTGCATTTTTATCTGTGAGTATGAGTAGCCGGTGATCAAGGTCAAATTTGTCTAAATACCGACTTGCCAATGCGCCCGGAGCCACTTTTCCGTTCGCTCATCCTTAGTTGTTTTTTTGAGCTCTGTTGGTTCCCCGTCGCGCAGCAGAAGAATGTATAACATTGTATAACCGCCAAGTCCCACAGCACAGCTCGATGGAGTCTGATCTCCAAGGCTAGAGCCCTTCTGAGGTGAAAGGTAACTAAAAAATACTAAAAACACACATGGACAATCTGAACCCCTCATGTTTTCAGCCCCAGGCAGATCGAGGCTCATGGTTGAAGATATCCTGGCGCAGGGGGCACTGTGCAGCCCGCGTTTGAGCCCTGCCCTTGGTCCTCCATATGTCAAACTTTGGCAAACAGCCCTCTCAGGTAGTCTTTTGAGAATAAATATTGATGAGTACTTTGCGCATCTTAAATCTGCGTATACCTTCGCAGTATGATGAGTCTGTTTTCCAGCATCGTAGTGAGAGACAGAGAGAGAGAGAGAGAGAGAGAGAGCATTGTTGAATGCCCCTGGATGAAAACTAAATGCCACTGAGCTGCTGCCAAAGGAATCATTGCCCGCACCTGGACCATCTCTACGCAAACGGCATGAATAAAAGACGACTTGTGCAATTGTTGTTCAATGCAGGGATTTGCGTGAAGCTTGAAGGAATGGTATTGAATGATTCATGAATGGCACATCAGCTGGGCATGATGCCAGTCATTCTCACAAACTGTTTTGGCATGGACGGGGCAAAACATGAATGCACTAAATAGATTAAGCCAAGCCAAAGATAAAAACTTGTCACAGCTTGTCGTGTGCTCCAAGAGAGGAGGAGACATTATGATAAGAGAAAATAGCCACGGCAAATTGGCAGGAGTTTATCCTCGGCTTAATATATTTTATGCTAAAATTGCTAAACAAACCAGAAATCGTCCGCCGTTAGACAGTTAGTCAAAGCTTTAGACTTCCTAACTCATTACCACGTTGTCCAGCTCGGCCACTCTGCCTCATCATCAACTGCAAAGGAGCGAGTAATCACAGCGCTCACTGCCCAGCCTTGGAATCCCGAGCTGCAGTCAAGGGATAAGTCCGTCATAGGAGATCCAATCTCACCAAGCTTCATGGTTTGTTGAGCAAAAGGTAGCCAAAGTATATATCTATATATGATGTACCAGGTCTCGTGATGATTGATTTCCAGCCTTGCTGGCTTGAGCTTCACGAGCGTTTTATGGTGCATGTGCATGACAATGAGAGGCAGCTCCTCCACTAATCGTGGTTCTGTCCATGTCTGCCACACACGAAGAATCTCAAGGCTGAGTACACACAGCATCAGATCATCACACAGCTGCAGAAAAACATATACATTTTATCGCTACTTTCGAACTCAAGTCAAGCGACCCCAAAATCAACAAAACATGTTTCTTGCATACTGGACAAAGCCTAGATAATGTGCAAATCACAGCCCGGCCGCCAGAAAAAGATTGGTCCTATCAAAAAGCGGCCAAACACAAAGTTCAACTGATCACATCTGATCACTAGTACCCTAGTTGCGCCCTGGTTGCCAGTAAAATCAGCCTTTGGGGGATCTTTCGGGCCGGTCTACCGTCGAACGCCCCACGGAACGAAGCGCACGTTTGTTCGCCCCGCGAGCCAACCGCCGCGACTGGGTGTCTCACACGCTGCGTCCCGCGGCACGTTGCCATTTCCAGAGACCTGACGGGGCACCGACCGTGAGGACCGAGACCTCCGTGAGGACCGAGACCTCCGTGAGCGTTCCAGGTGTGGGCGGCGGTTTGCTCGGTAGCCATTGGGCGGAATGATGTCCAAACCATTCCGGACCCAAATTAAATAAGATGGCATTCAAATAGCTCTACCGACTTGAGCACGAGGATGCTTGCGAGTGTTGCAGAAAGCATGCTCACTAGATGCTCACTCACTTGCCTACTGGATCAAACCATCAAACGTTCTCAAACCTTTGGTCCTACCATACTACCTATCACTGGCAGCAAAGCCTAGAGTGTGCGGGTACCCTGCCGCCAGGCGCACCCATTGAGCAGACTCTTGGATCTGCTGAGAGTAAGCCAAAAGCTGCTCGACCTGGTCGCCAACGATGGGCAGCGTCTGGTTGGTTCACCTCTTGGGGTGGTCTCCCATAGCAGGGCCAGGCGAGACAATCGAGCAACCCCAACATCGCTGGTCAAATGAAATGGTGTGCGGCAACAAACAGCAGCCCCGGCATGCCCGGCCATACCAGTGCAGCATGGCTCCCCCCTCACATGTAGCTCATTCAAGAATGCAAATCCCGTTTGAATTCTTTATTGTGCAAGCATTATGATACCAGTGGTTCTCACAAAATCATGATTCTGGGAACAAATCGTGGCAACACATTGTCCCAATTATATAGTCCTATCTAAACAAGCTTGCGGCTGGCACTGGTTCTTGCGATTTGCCTATGTGCATGTCCTACAGGCCTGCCTTCTTGCTTGTGAGGGTTGTCCTCCAGGTTTGGTCTTGGACAAAACATGACAAACATGCATGCTTGACTCCTTGACTGTTGAAAACAAAGTCCACACTGCCTTTCTGAGCGCCACCGGGCTTCCCGACCGTGGCAGGCCACCCCAGAGTGATGATTGCATCCTAATCTCTGCAGATCCCACGTGCTTGTGCACTTGGATGTTGTTTGGGATGTAGTTCGAGAATGTTCGAGATGCAGTATCAACTGGTGATTGCATGGTTGCTCTAGCAACCAAATCAGCACATGCATCACGTGTGGAAATTGGTGTGTCAATCTGTTCTCACTACCACTAGTACATGCCGCAAAGTCATAGCCAACTGACCCGTGCTGATCAAAGCACTCCAAAGCAACAAAATCCGCCAGGCCTTTGACATCTTTTGACTTTGACATGGGCTCCCCGTCCAACAATCATCGTCAAGCTTGTGCCACATCACTGAACAATGCCCACAGAATCGCCCGGTGGACGCCCCCGGAGCGCGTCGATCCCCACCTGTGGCCAGAACCTGTGGCGAACGTGGCCATCCGAGACGACGGCCTCAGACCGGGACACCGATCCTTGATCTGCAAGGAAGGGGCCAGAGATGGCCAGAGAACATGAATGGCCCATATCAAGGTGAGTTCTGTTGCCAACTACCTACCACTCTAGCGAACCCAGTCGAATCCAATGACCTTCCCTGGCAACATTCTCCAGTATCGAATGGTCACCCAACTCACTCTAGCAGCCTTCGCCCCAAAACTTGATTTTCAGCAACTCACCCAACGGTCCATTTTCAGCTCCTGCGCGAACCGCGTCTTCGGTTCAAACCTGGGAGTCAAATCGCTTCTCTGGCAAGACACTACAACTCAAGAAGAAAACACAAGCGATCCATACGCTCAAGACAACTTTCAAGAATTTTTTTCTACACGGGGGCTTGTTCAAAAAACTCGGTTCAAATCGTGGACTATTTGAACTATCCCGCTTCCTCTCCCCTCTGTGGAAACCTCTTTAGCCTCACGGTTGCAAATCGCTGCCCTTGATGTGCAGTATCTCTAGACAGGCATGCTGATTGCAAGATTGCTTTACACCGCCGCCGCCGCCATTCAAAACAGTGTCAGCACAAAAACCCTTACAGTACTAAGATGATATATATGTTGGCTCATGCAAATTCAAAGACGCAAAAAGGCACTATGGGGCACCGGTGAATTGCACAAACACTGCACAGTTTAAACTGGAAAGTCGATGTGCAACTGATTGCCAGTTTAATGTGGATCATAGAAGGTCGGCAATGACCACAACTCAAAAAGAGAGAGAGAGAGAGAGTGCGGCACACGAGCATGCTTGCTTGCAAAGATTAAGCAGCCTCCACTTCCCACTCATCCCTGTCCCCGACTGTCCCACAGGAGACCCTACACGTGCCATAAGTATCCATTCTTATATATTTATTTATATAACTAGTGATGTATGACACCAGCGGAAAGCACAATGAATATAGCGTGTCTTGGCATCCAGCCCCCCATCTCAATGTTGATGACAAGCAAACGCATCACAAAGCGCAGTTTGTAGCTATAAAAACCCATGGCCCATCAAGGTGACCCCTTCAGTGTAGGTGTGCAAAAAATATGTAACTGACATGGTATCAAATATTAATGAGTTTGGATGAGTTCGGTGAGATACAGTGATGGATTCCGATCAATTCCCACAAGCTGGCCCCATCTCGACCCAGCTGAGTCCGACCAGGCCCGACCTGAATCCACCACACGAAGTCCGTGCTGAAGTGGATCGTTTCACGCTGGACTCCGCGCTGCACCAAGTGTTCCACCAAGGCCTGCCGTGTCAGAAAGGCGCCGTTGCTTTCGGCTCAAGGGTGGGCCCCTGTTGGATGTGGTAAAAAGAATGTAGAACTCCGGTCAAAGTATGGCTGACTGGTAGGTGGTGGCTCAAAGGGCTGGCAAATGGAAACAGTTTCGAACCAATTCTTGCAAAAAGTGAACTGTGAAACCCTGCACAGGAGCACCAATATAACCAATGACTATCAGCTACAATATATATATATATTATACTAATCTATACTAATCTAATATTGTACTATACTAATTTATACTATAGGATCTATAGGTACATACTATAGGTATCTGTATAATATATATATAGGTACTTTTGGTACTGACTATGGTTAGAGCTATAGTAATACAATGTAGGATAGAATATGCAACGCAGCGTGAAGGTCTACGAGTACCAAACCACCTGGCCACCTTTTTTCCGACGCCTTCATGTCTTCACCTCTTTTGGGCTTCGACGCTCGGGCTGATCGGAAGCTGTGAAGCCATCACGGGAGCCACTGTACAGGGCCAGGGCCTCGGGGATAACGAAACCATTGGCAAGACGAAGGCACACATTCTGATGGCAGAATGAACTTTTTACATGCTCGCTCCCAACTTGGGTCATCACGGATGCCACAGAATCCTGGAAATGGGTCACCAGATGACCACACGCAGGACGCCACACAATCTTCAGCACGAGAAATGGTACGACAAAACTCCCAGGTGCTCGAATTGGCCGTGACATCGCAAAAGCCCAGAGTGCTGGCATTGGTTCCCGGTGCGCCACTGGTGTCCGGCACTGAGGCCGTCTCAGATCTCCTCTGCAGAAGTGTGAGGCACATGGCCTCATCGTGGACCTCGTCATCGATCACATCTGGCAGCTTCAAGTTGACGATGTTGACTTGACCAAAGGCCAAGGTGGTAAGCAGAAAGAAAAGCACCAACATTCCCATGGGGTTTCAGATGGAATGGCTGGCTCTCTGTGTGCTGCGTGCCTAGGGCTAAGCCCAAACATGTAACGGCCTCTTGAGGTAATAACCTCTAACCAGCCTTCAAATTGCAAGACACAAATCAGTCAAGTAAACAGTCTTCAACCTATCAGAAGGTGCCAATCCTTCTCACACAAGTCCACATCATGTGGGGCAGCTTTCGGATGTCCACACCAACATTCTGAAATTCAGCCCCCCTGAACATCCCTCCCTTCCATCGCGCCATCTCCACACATATTTGTTTCACATGTTCGAGCATGTTATTTCTACCCGGCCCGGCCCTGCACCTCAAGGACGCCCTCAAAGGCCAAGTTGAAAAGATCGTGGCCTCACATGTCGTCGAGCGGGTCTTCCGCTGGGATGTTGGACAACCACCACATGCAAAACCTCCACCACCCTGGAACAAAGAGTGTCTCATGTCCTTTTCAGACATGCTGTGTGGGGCCACCTCTAAAATCTAGCACCTCCTCCCAAAAATGCACCTTCTAGATTCTAGAAGGTCGTCAAATGCCGTCAGCCAGCCCAACGCAAATCCCCTATGCTATGCTGAGCTCACTCGCCTGCCAGGAGCCCTCCCGGACGGATCTTCGGACGCCACAAGCGCAGGTCTTCCCGCACCGCTGAGTAGCTGTGATCGCCTTGAGTAGCTGCGTGGCAGCATTTTTGGGCACGGCGGTTGGTGGGGTGGGGGGGGTCTCAATCCCGAAAGTGTGGTCACCACAGTGTGGTCCATCCCTCATGATTGAAGAACAAATATCAATTATTATCAATTTGACATGTCATGTCTACTAAAACAAACGTTCAAACCTGTCAGGCCCGTCAGGTCAAAAAAAAAGGTATAAATAAAGCACAAGTATAGTAGGAGTTAAGGATAGTTAAGGCGTCAAATGACTTGGGAAAGTGTGAATTTCCATGTATGCTTTCTAAATCACATGTCCTCCGAAGTAGTATGTAAGTTTTGGGCATCTCTTTGGATCCTCTCTTAGGGAGGTCTTGTTCGGGCACGAGGTTGAGACCTAAGCGGTCGGTCGGGTCGAGATGGGAATGTGGTTTACAACAATTTGGATCTAGCATGATCTAGCAAACATGTCCGAAAAAACTATTTGAATACTGTAAACTGTAAATATCACAAACCAACGTTCGGCGAACATGCAGCCTGCCTGCAGCAAATTTCAAACACTGTTTCCGCAGATTTGTGGGGAGTCTTTCCCACCTCGTTTCGCGCGCTTCCAAGAGACCATCGATAAACACCACGTCGAAGGTCTCAGGCGGAAACCTTGGCAGGCGGTCCCTCGGGTTGAAGTGAAACAGCGGAAGCGAGCGGAGGACCCAAGAGGAAGCAAGCCACCCCAGCGGACGGCTGCCATGATTGAAATCGCCTGGACATCCTTTTGAAATCCAAGATATTGATACTGGCACCAAGGAACATGCCTGTACCGCGTGATCACTCATCTCTTCCAACCCATGCACCGCCAAACCTGCGCCCCCAGTCCTCAGCCCCAAGCCGTGCAGCTGCTTCCTGCGAGGACATGCGCCACAGCCTGGCGAAGCCGGCGATGCCCCAACGGCTCGAACGTTCGCTCCCCTCGTGACGCACATCGGCTCTGAAAGTCACGACCCTCATCGCATCGTCTATGAAGTCTATGAGTCTATCATGGGGGTTTTCTTGCACACCAGTTCAATATGACAATGCAGTAGACAAGATCATCTGCAATATTGTCAAAACTAGCTTGTCTAGCTGGTGGACGGTGGAACACTCGACTTGGTAGATCCGGTTGATGAAGTCAATTCGGACTACGAGTAGTAGCACAATTCGGAATTGCTGCAAATTTCCTTCTGCGTCCTCTTCCCTGGCAATCACTGCTGCAACATACAGTACTCTTACCACAAACTACGAGTACCACACCCACTGCACTTCAAAAGGAACCCATGTCGTATTCACAACCTGCATCCTGGCGCGTGGTCATCCTCAACCCATCCAGCGCCTTGCACGCGGGCCATAGTTTCCAATACGCTGAGACGCTTCGGCGAAAATGCTTTCAGCGTCATAGAAGGGATCAACTCCATCCTGCTTGCTGGAGGCTGCGGTGAGGTTGCGGGCGCGCTTCTCCCGCCACGGCGGCCACGACCAAGGACCCGGCGGGTTTTTCTGTGGTATCACAAGAGGTGTCTGTCAGTCAAAGAACCTTGCAACTCTTGTGCAGCCTGGAAAATGTTGACTACATTTTACATGCACCGGAGCGCTTTTCACACATCCTGTGAACTATTCTTGGCAAACCACCCATCAACACTTTGGAACCAGGTCAAGAACTTTTCACGAACAAAAAAGAGTATGAGTATATGCATGAGTAATTGTGTAAGGGTGGCGGGGCATCAGGAACATGTTCCGGATAACGCCTCGACTTGTACCATGGAATTGAACAAATGGCCTGTGGGAAGACCCTTCCCCCGTACAATGACAATGATGTTTTCCAGTTCCATGCTACAGAGTGTTGGGTTTTTAGGAACCCGGAACCATATAACATACCATCGGCAAATTAAACGACATGGTGACATGATGGCTTTCTGTTACGTTTCTTTGATCATGTCAGAAAGCAGCATTTCTCCTGCCCTGTGAATCTTCGGCCGTTCTCATCAGTTTAAAAATAAAACAGCGTTGTCACAAAACTAAGGTAACCAAACCAACCCCTAAAACACGGATCCGGCCAAACTAT